GTAGCAGATGGCGGAGCTCTGGCCAAGGTCAGCGGTCCTGCAAAACCCGTGTGCATCCTTGTTGGCCCGTCAGGACTTGAGCACCATGGCCAGCGACTCACCAGTATGACCAGCCATAGTCCCACGTCTGAGGCTTCCAATCTTCCGGTCCAAGGTTCACAGTGATTTCAAAAATGGTTGTGTACATCATGTGAGCCACCATGGCTAGGAGCCCTGCATGGGGAAAGCTTGTGAGCCACGGTGCAGAATGTGGTTTCTCTACCTTGCGTGAGCTGGAGGTTGGGAGCCCACTGGCACCTCCTTGAGCCCTTCCAAGCAGCCTTCTTGCTTTACATGGACACTAATTTCTTCGAGTCACCAGTCTGAGCAGTGATATATGCCCCTTGGCCACGTCATCCCTCCCATGACCACCTCTTTCCATTTTATCATGCCCCTGTGTCGCTTCGTTACGCCCTCTTTTTTCCAGAACAGGTGAGGGGTGTTTGAGCCTCACTTCACAGTGTTCTGTCATGTTATTCTTTTTACTGTGGATTGTTTGCTAACACTCAGAAACTTTGCCTAAAAATCCCCATGTGTCCGGCCACACTAGACTCACAGGGCAATAAGTCAGTTGCCAGTGCAATTTTCTGTCCTTCATAAGTGAATTGATCTTTTTGCCTGGAAACCCAGAGGGTTTGTTATTTTTTTAAGTGGTTTCAGTGGGATGTGTCTGGACTTGGGGTTACTGCGTCAGGTCCTCCGGGTATTTGGACGGAGTTTTCTATATATAGATTAGGGCCTTTCGTTCAAGGAAGTCTCCTTGAGTTTTGCTTTTAAATATGAGTTGTTTTATTGTTTCGTGTTTCTTTTTTTCAGGGACTCCCATTACACCTACGTTTTAATTTAATAAACGACAGGCAGTGACCAACCAGGGATTGGTTTCAGGAGTCCAAATAGAAATTAGTTTTAACTGGTGGGGCCATTATTTAAATATTAATGGGAAAGTTTAAAGTCCTAGTGCTGCTGCACCTGCTCTTATAAATCCTTAAACGTTCCCCGTGAGATCACATGCACACAGTTGAAACTAAAGAGCTATCCATAAAGAGGTCTGCTCTTGACTGGGGGACCCTGGGGGAGGCCAGGCCTGGGGAGGAGTCTCCAAGACTCCTTGCTTTGCAGATCTGGAAATTGGATTTTATCATCTTATTCACTGATAAGAAGAGAAGACCTGGGAAAGATGCGTCACACCTGTCCAGCCCACCAGGGATCTACAAACTAGACCGGTGCACTGTTAACTCAACAGAGCTTTGTGTGTCCAGCCGGAGAAATGGAGGAAGCTATTTGTGCAGGGTGCTTTCCGTGGTGGAAAAACCCACTTAGGAGACCAAATTAAGCTGTTCTGAAAGTTGCTTGGAGGGGGGAGGGTATAGCTCAATGGCAGAGTGCCTGCTTAGCATGCACAAGTTCCTGGGTTCAATCCCCAGTACCTCCATTAAATAAATAAATAAATACCCCCCCCAATTTTTTTAAGTTGCTGGGAGAATACAGAAGTAAGACCAAAAAGGAAAATTCTTTATTCATATGGGATGTTTTCCCCAAGCTCAGATAATAATTTTTAATGAGCTACCGGGTTTTTGAGTGCTCACTGTACACTGTGTGCATTCTTAGTCATCACCGTAGCCTTTTGAGATAGCTAGTTAAGAGAAGTTAAGTTACTCACCCAGGGTCACACAGCCGTTAAGTGGTAGAGACCAGACCCAGGCAGGATTCCCCTACAGACTCGTGCCTAACCGCTGGACTAAATCAGGCAATTTCTGTTCTTACAGCCTGTAGACTCCCTTCCCAGGGCTGTGATCAAGCCATACTGAGGAATTTTATTCTCCATTTGTGTCTGTGCCCTTTCTTTTCTTCAGTCACCCACTGCCTCCGGCAATGGGATTAATTCAGTAGCTTCTCCAGCAGCCCAGCGGTCCCGCTGAACTGGCCACGGGCAGGAAGAGCCAGCCTGGAGTTTTGCCATTCCCTCTGGGGTGGGCTGGGGGGAATCTAGCCTTTCCGATGATGTTCTTGGAGAGTACCTGCAAGCACCATGAGGATGGCTACAGAGGCGTCCACCTTGAGCCAGTGGAGCCCCGAGCTGTGATAACTCCCTCTGGAGCCCAGGAGGACGGCGCTCGTCAACGTCAGAAGGATGTTCAGGACCTCAGCCCCGATGGACAGCCACAGAACACCTGCAAAATGCAGGGGGGACAGATGCTGGGAACTGAGAATTCAGAAGTACTAGGACATTCAATCCTTTGAGTAGAGGAAAAAAATATAAGACAAATACCACGGAGTGAAAGTCCACAGATAGCTTTGCTGAGTCTTGGATAGTTGGCAATGAAAAGAAAAGTTGGAAAAGATTGTCGTTAACTGGGAGGGAAAAAAAAACAACTAAGCAAAACTTTGATGTAAGGAACTGAGGGATACAGGGGTCTTCATTTCCTAGTTCAAAAGGTGGGGAAGGTATAGCTCAGTGGTAGGTCACATGCTTAGCATGCACGAGGTCCTGGGTTCAATCCCCAATACCACCATCAAAAAATAAATAAGAAAAGATTTTTAATGTGTTGTTTTTATTCCTCCAGAAGATATTGTCTTTTAAAGGAGAAGATAGATTTAACCAGGGGCTGGGGGTGGGGAGAGGAATCTGAGAGTTTAAGAGCCCTGATTCGTGACTCCAAACCCCCATTTTTTCTCGTGGGCCTATTATAGTTACCATTTGGATGGGACCCCAACTACAGCTTCAAGGAAATGTGTTGGTTGTGGAAGGGATTGAATAAAAGAGGGCAGGGAGAGAAACTAATATTTGCAAAAGGCCTCGTCTAAGGCGGTGTGGTACTGAGGACTCGGCAGTGAATGAAACGGACGTTGTCCATGCCATCACAAAAGCTACATTCCAGGTGGGAAAACATATTACGAAAGTAAGTACACATTTAATGAGTGTTACAGAGAAGAAAAGCTGCTGCAGGCAGTAACGAGCTACCACTCATCTTTTTCCTACTCTGCGTTCACCTCTCACGGACTGCTTGAAGTTGGCCATGGTGGGAGCATTTACACCATGGAAAGCTGCGGGCACTACCAGTCAGGTGGTGCAAAGTGGGTTGTTTCTCAGTTTCTGGCGTTCCTGACTACAGGGCACGTGAAGGCAGCCAGTGGCTCTGGCTTTTGGACTCGACTTCATGAGAAAACTAGAAAAATCTCTTTCATCTCTTCCGCCAGCCCAACCAGAATAAGAAAAATTGTCCAAGTTGCAAGGATGGCTGGTGGACAGAACGTGAGGGAGATATTTACCTCGTTCTTCAGCTGGTATTACACTCTGGAAACTCCTACACTTTTCACCTAGGAGAAAAAGAGAAGAGGATCCTAAGTAGGGTTAACCTTGACCATTAGGGGCAAACGGTGTTTCCAGCCCCGTATGGGCTAGAAGTGAACGTGCTGGTTTACACCTCTGGGGGCTGGGGGTTGTGTGTTGCTGCAGCATAACCTAGCCTGTCTGGACTGACACTGCCAGCCTTAGACTAGGGGAACTCAGCTTCCCAAACCGTGTCCATTAGGATGTGAATCTCAAATAATTAGCTCTGTAACAACGTTTGTAATGATTTTTTTAAAAAATGCATTGGAGCAGATTCAGAACGATCTCTGCTGCCAGGTACTTGTGCTCCATCCTGCTCTCTGGAGTGTGAAAGGAAAGGAGTAGTTATTGTGTGTGCGCCGGGTACTGGGTAGAACCCACCACCAGGTTTATGCTGTGCTGCCAGGGGTGGGCTTGGCCCGCATCGTCTGTCGTGATGCACGTATTGTCTGGAAAAGCTTGTGTTGCTACCTTCGATGTGTGGTCCCTTTGAAAGAGCTAAGTCCATGAATATCTACTTAGTGTACGGTTGCGAGCAAATTCTGGTTTAGGGTTGAGTGAGAGATGGAGGGTTGAGACCATAGCAAATCGCCCTCTGGGATCCCGTCCCAGGTGGGTGTCCATTTAACACTTCAGCCCCAAATTGAACCATAGACTAGAAAGTGGGAAGAGTCTGGGAAATCGCTGGATTCTGCTCTGAACACTTTTTAAAAAATTTTTATGTATTTATTTTTTTGGTGGGGGAGATAATTAGGTTTGTTTTTGTTTGTTTGTTTGTTTGTTTTAATGGCAGTCCTGGGGATTGAACCCACAACCTTGTGCACGCTAAGCACACGCTCTACTACAGAGCTAGAGCCCTCCCCACCCTGCACAGTTTAGAGGAGTGGGTCCAAGGACCTCTGAGTGGGGAGAATAGTATAGAAAACCCAGGTAGAGGCAGCTTCAGGATTAAAGCTGGGTCTGCAGGGTCCTGGCCCATCACTGATTTGATGCAACCCAGTCGGCTGCAGGGGAGCTACCAAGGGAGACACAGCCTGCTGCTCCCAGGCTGGGCCGGAGGGAGCTAAAATGGACCAAGAGGCGAAAGTTAGGAGCATCCATCATCGGCTTTTCAAAGGAGTGGCTTTCCTATCTCTAAAGTTGGTTCAGTGGTCCTCATAATAGCCTTGCTTTGAAGATTAAATGGGCTAGGAAAGTTTCTCTCACAGTTGATATGCGCTTAAACCTTATTGCAGTAAAATAAGTTCTGTTGGGGGCTTTTTGCGTATGGTGAGCATACATCATCATTTATTACTAGACTGCAAGTACCCTGAAGGCCAGGATTGTGTCAACCACCTTTTCTGGACATTTTCAGGCAGAGAAGTAACTTTGGGGAGCATCTTTAGACTTTAGAAAATATATTCCTTTTATAGGAGAGAAAAATTCCAGGTAACTTTCCTATTCAAGAACTTATAATGGCTCCCCATGTCCTCCAGTCTCAAGTCTAAACTTCTCTTCTTCTTTTACGTCCTCCCTCCGTCCAGCTGACTTCTCAACACAGAGCCCATCTTTTTGCTTCCTGAGCGCGAGCCAGCGTTCACCTTCTGCCTCATCAAGCTCTCCTGGGAAGGACCATCTGTGCAAACAGATGCTTTAGGCGCTACCTGCCCAAAGATCATAAACCTTACTGCTTGCCAGGCTCCACCTCGGAGTGCCCTTGGGCCTCATTCCTTCCCACTTCTTCGTTGCCCCTCTGCTGCGCTATGGATGGAGAGGAATAAAGTTTGGGTTTATGACACAGCTGTTTGGTTGAGCTGCTCTGCTGGGATGCTTCCTGGCTTGGACGTGAAGCGAGGAGTCATCTGTCACGTTAACTGTCCACAAGTGGCCTGAAGGAGTGTTTGCAGCCCCTGGGCTGAGGGCAATGGAACCAGGGAGCTGTCTGCTAATCCACAGCCACGGTGGCCTCTGCAGCCTCTAACTTAGCTCAGCTTTGGATTGATGGATGCAGCAGGACATTACTCCTGGTTGATTCTCTGATTTCGGCAGCAGCAGGGGTGTGGACAGAGACTGCTACCTGCCGGATCAGTACACAAAGGATGCTGTGGAAAACAGGACACTGGCCCTAGATGGTTAAGTTGTATATCAAAGGAATAATTTCATTAAGCCGAGACTCTTGCATCTTCCTTGCCCATAGAAAAACACTAAGTCAACTTGAGATGCCGGGTTTTTCTTTCATTAGCAGTAATCTTTCGATGTTCAGCTACCTGGTTTTTTGGTAAGAGCTCCTATATATCCTGGCTCCTCCCGTACCTCTTTGGAACAGTCCCTCAGAGCTGTCTGAGAGGTTGCCTCCTGGCTTGAAGTCCTCAGGAATGCCCCAAATAAAACATAATTCTCAACTATTAGGTTGTGCTTTTTTTTTCCCTGGTCGTTAGCAGTATTATGGTCACAATAGCAAACATTCGCCTTTGTCCCCCCAGTTCTACCAGTGAGGTCCCCACAGCCTTGGGGGCATCACAACATTCACTCTGGGCAAGTTAGGGCTAATGTAGCCCTTTGTTTACATCTCATCTGGTCCTCACTAGAACCCTGAGAATAGCAGGGGGACATCATGGACAGAAGGTGGCATTTAAATCCAACAGGACTGGCTTCTACGCTGGTTCAGCCACAGTCAGGAATCATAGGAGGTTAAGTAACTTCTCTGAGCCTCGCTTTCTTCATCTGCAAAATGCGTATCACCAAAGTCCTCCAGTGAGAAAGTTATGCAAGTATTTTGCAAACTGCCTCTCATGTCTTGGTGTGCCTAATGATTGATAAAGGCAAGTACAGCTATCCGGAGTTCACAGATTTGAAGGCCAGGTTCAAAGAGCTTGGTAGAGTCAGGAATTGAAACTGGGTTTTCTCACCCGAGACCAGTACATTTTTCTACGTCACCACCCTGCTCTCTTTCTACGTAATGCCTGGAGGACTGAGGGTCTATCTGGTCTTCCGCAGAGGGCTGTCTCAACTCACAGGAGTCAAGAGGAGGCCAGGTACAGAGCCAGGAGCAGGGCAAAGCGAGAATGGAGTCCAGCCAAGGAGATTAAGAGAATTCACAATAGCTTAGAAGGCTGAGTTTAGCCTGGGCGAAGGGTCAGACCATAGTGACCCCTTGATTAATATGAATCCTCAGAAATGATGTTCCTTTTGAATAAAGCCAGCAGGATTAAAAGGAAAAATCTTTATAAATCCCATGAAGCTAGAACAGGCGGGTGTTACATAGCTCGACAGAGGTTCACCAGCCAAGCAGCGCATCAAACCAGCCTGGGGAACCGTGTCTGAGTCTTGGGGACTGAGTCTGGCACCCTGTCTGCTTATTCTCCCCAACCCCCCACCCACTACAGGGTGTCCAGGCCTCTCTGTCCTTGAACAGCCTAGAATCGGAACTCAGCACATTTTGTTGGCTAATTCCCCCATGCAAGGAAAAGAACATTCAGTTGAAGCACTGCCACAACCAGGCATTTTTGTTTCAAATCTTCATTTTGGGAGGGAGCTTTCTCTCTTCAAAGGCATTTCAGGCATCAAGAAGAAGGTGCAGGGAGGGGAGGGTATAGCTCAGTGGTAGAGCACATGCTTAGCATTCATGAGGTCCTGGGATCAATCCCCAGTGCCTCCGTTGAAAAATGAATAAGAATAAATAAAACTAATTACCACCCCTCTACTGAAAAACAAGAAAGAGCAGATCTATTCTGGGGAATCAGGAGGATTCCTGAAATAGTCCTCCAGGTAGGGGCTCCCTGGAAGGGTCAGCTTATGGGGGGATGGAAGTGGAGCTGATTCAGAAGGAACGTATCCAGGAGGCCTCAGGGGGCAGCAGAACTGGGGGTGGCCGGACACCCTGAAGTCCCTCTCCTGGGCTTGTTCAGGGTCCAGGAGCAACCTCCCCAGGCTGGAGTCCTTAACGACAGGGCTCTGTAGCTCTGTAGCAGTGTCCTCGCCACACTTAACGCAGAGACCAGGGCACTGGCCTGGACTCGTGGAGGGTGAGGCCTGGTGCCGCTGTCTGCAGTGACCATGGGGGCAGGGATGGGGAGGGGCACACAGCATCTCAGACAGTTCCTTCTTGTTGCCTTTTACTTAGACCTCAGGAATAAACCACTAATGCTACGAGTATGAGAAAAGAAAAGGCAGTGAGAAACTCTAGGAAAAGTAAAACACTGTATAAGAATGTAAAGTAACAAGCCTGAGGTCAGGATAGGGATGATGGGGGGGTCTCTCCTGTCCACCTTGGGGATGTGCTTTCCCAGCATGAAGGGGAGACCATCCTGCCCCACGTGTGGGCTTGGCTTTGCAACCAGGCTGCCGAACACTGAGGAGTCCAGCTCCTCCCTCCTCCGTTCCTCACGAGGTAAAAACACTCTCCTTTGACCTTTCCCTTCCCTCTTCTCTCTCCTTTTCCTTCAACATTTCCTTCACCACCACCCTGTCAAGCCCACAGGTCAAAAGATGGTGCACCAGGGCTGAGTAATACAGTGGAGGAGGGAACTTGAAACGCTCTGAGCCTCAGTTTTCTCATCTGCGAGTTGAGGGAAAAAGACTTACTTTGCTAGATTATTTCAAAGGTCGCCTAGAATCAAAGTCTAACTTGTTCATGGTTTTACGTCTGGTGGGTGCTCCATAAAGGGCGTTCCCTTCCCACCAGTGATGATAAGAGTTTGTTTTCTAAGTGAAACTTCTCTTCTGTTCCAAGACCTCTTAAAAATGCAAGGATGCAGCTTAGAGTAGAGTGGGGCACTTAAATTCTCCAGGAGTTGAATGACACTAGCAGACCGTAAAAGCGAATGTTTAACAAACCCTTAGAGTGTCAGGTGCTGCTGCAAGTGATTTATGTGAAGCCGGTCATTTCATCTTTATAATAATTCTAGAGATGAGTCCTGACTGCCCTTGTTCCTATTTTATAGATGAGAAAACTGAGGCTCGGAGAGGTGGAGAGACTGGTTGGAGGACACACAGGCAGTCAGTGGCAGAGCTGGGTTTCAAGCGTCTGCTCCTGGCCAGCGGCCTGCACCTGTCACCCGGGGTAGGCTGTGCTGGCCGTGCTCACCTGGGCTGCCGAGGCGCTCCTCGCACGAATGCCAGAGCCCCACGTGGAACCTCCGCTGGATGAACTTGTCGTCCCCCATCTCCCAGATGTACTGCACAGCCTGGCTCCCGTTGTCCGCGCTGCCCGGGCTGTAATGGATGCAGTGCAGCGCCCCCGGACGGTCCTGGCACAGCGGCTTTGCCACCCGCCGGGTCCCCTCACACCAGTAGCTGCTGCCCACGGCCGTGAGGGAGCAGGTGAGGGCGAGGCCCACGGGGAGGAGGGTCAGCGCCCGCTGCCGCCTGGCCGGCTCCATGGCCGAGTGCGGGGTGTGCGGCGTCAGGGTGAGCAGCCAGGCCACTCCTCCTCCGCCTCGTCGTGGTACCTGCCCCTCCTCAGCCCGGCCATCTGGCATCCTCACATCTTCCCTCACATCCCCCTGGGGAACCGGCCCCCTCCAGCGAGTGCCATCCCTGTGAGGCCAGTGCCCTGAGGAATCACAGAGCTGGGACCCCCTTCAACACCGCCGGCCCTTCGGTCCTTCCCACCATGCAGAAGTGCTGCGGGGCGTGGCTTTCTGTTTTAGTTCTTTTCAAATGGTGCTGAAATACACATAACATAGAATTGACCATCTTAACTGTGTTTTTGTTTTGTTCTGTTGTGTTTTTTGGGGTGATGGGGTAAGTCATTAAGTTTACTTATTTATTTAATGGATGTACTAGGAATTGAACCCAGGACCTCGTGCCTGCTACACTTGTTCTCTACTGAGCTGTACCTTCCCCCCATCCATCTTAACCATTTTTAAGTGCACGGTGAAGTACATTCACGTCCTGCAACCAGTCTCCAGAACTTTTGTCATCTTGTGCAACTGAAACTCTATCCCCACTAAACACGAACTCCCCAACCCTCCTCCCCCAGGCCCCTGGAAGCTCCTCCGACCCCTTATATTCTCTAGGGATTCGGTCACTCTAGCTATATGTGGAACTTCTCTTTTTGTGACCGCCTTATTTCATGCAGCTTAATGTTCTCAAGGTTCATTGTGTTGTAGCAGGTGTCACAATCTCCTTGCTTTTGTATCTGAGAAGGACCCTTAAGGGGCCTTCCTGGCACAGACTCCCTCACATATTCTCTGCTGTAGCACCTCTCTGAAATACCTAGATAATGGTATCTGATGTGTATTTCCTGAGTTTTTCAGATGCTAAAACCACCAGGGGAGGGAAGAAATTAGCTACGTGGTGATCATCAGCGGAGCTCCCAGACCTTCTGGAGCCTAAGGATTGATCACTATTAACCATTCAGAGAATTGTGCACAGCTGACCACATATCCTGGGACACCCCTCCCTCACCTGGCCTTTAAAACTGCTTTGCTGAAACCCTCTGGGGAGTTGGGGGGCCAAACTTGGGCATGAGCCGACCACTGGGCCCTGCAATAAACCTTCCTCTGCTCCAAACTCTAGCATTTCGGTTTGTTGGGCCTCGCTGTGCAGGTGACACTTTTAAAGGCTGAATAATGTTCCATTGTGTGGCCAGACCACGATTTGTTTATCCATTCTGGAAGATGGGGTAATTCGAGCGGGTGTCCGGTAAGACCGCTCACCTTTGCCTGGTGCTTTGAGCAGGGTTCTCAGGCTCCCAGAAATGGGGAATCCCAAGGCCTGCCTCGCCCTATGGAGAAAGGGACTGCTGAGGACAGCTCTCTGTCCCAGAATTCAGCACCACCCTGCGGCCTCTAGAGCTGGCAGGCAGAGCCCCTTGGCACACCGTTGCAGGAGCTGGAGGAGAGAACCGTCACATGCCAGGTCTCGGGCAGGTCTCTGCAACAAGGGAGTAGGAAAGAATTCAAGACGAGCCATAGTAGGAGGGGTCCCTTTTCTCCACACCCTCTCCAGTATTTATGATCTGTGGACTTTTGAATGATGGTCCTTCTGACTGGTGTGAGGCGGTACCTGATTGTAGTTTTGATCTGCATTTCTCTGATAATTAGTGATATTGAGCATTTTTTCATGTGCCTATTGGTTATTCATATGTCTTCATTGGAGAATTGCTTGTTTAGGTCTTCTGCCCATTTCTGGACAAAAAAAAAGAGTGAGCCATAGTAAAGTGACAGCGAGTTTATTTAGAGAGATACACAGTCCACAGAGAGAATGCAGACCGTCTCAGAAAGTGAGTGCGCCCTGGAGTGTGGGGTTATTTATTTTTTTTTAATGGCGGGACAGGGTACAGAACGCAGGACCTCGTGCATGCTAAGCATGCGCTCTATCACTGAGTTAGACCCTCCCCTGCTAATGAGTCGGAGGAATATTCTAACTATTTGGGGAGAAGGGGGGGGGAATTTCCAGGAATTGGGCCCCGCCCACTTTCTGGCCTTTTACATCAGCCTGGGAACCGTCGTGGCGCCTGGCGGGTGTCACTTAGCGGCTGACGTAGTACAATGAGGTATAACGAGGCTCAAGGTGGACGGGGGTCGAGTCTTCCGCCATCTTGGGCGCAGGAGGGTCTGTCCACTTTCTGCCGTATCCTCAACAGCTGCATCATTCTTTTAATGGCTGTGCCCTGCCCCCTCCCTCCTGTGTCATTATCACTCATGTCCGCGCCAAGGGGGCACTGCGGGAGTGGCCACACTGAGCTAACCATGCCTACTAAGCCGAGCCAAGGCTGCCCCCTCAACACTCCAGGCTGCGCCCCCTCCCACACTCACTCTTGAAGAGAGGAGGCCTCACCCAGGGCTCCAGACTGCTCTTTCCTGTCACTCTTGCCTCCCTGGTGACATTGGTGCATGGTGTTGTCTGTGTACGCTAACTTCATCACCCTTTCCAGCGTATTGCCAATAAACAACTATTTAAGGGGGAAAAAAAATGAAATATTTTAAAAAGAGTGACAATTACAGCATAATATACAGGCTGGCTGGGGCAGAATCTGTCCATCAGAATCCTACTAATGCAATCTGGAAGAATTACCTGTTCCTTAAAAAAGAGAAAACTGTCTCCCCAACAATCAAATTTTTACTCAAATTCTTTATACAATAACTTACTCTTTTATTAAAAGTATTTTTCTGGTTATGAAGCCATACAGTCTTATTCTAGAAAAGTTGGAAAATACAGAAATGAATAAAGAAGGAAATAGGAATCACCCACAATTCCACTACGAGCCAGAGCCAGTCACGCTTCAACACCGAGCCTAGGCTCACTGAAACTTCTCAAACCCAGCCACGGACAGTTTTCCTTCAAAGCATTCATGTCTTTTCCCACAGAATATAAAACAGAAACAGATAAAAACATACCCAAATAGAATAGAATGAGTTTCTTCACAAAGTGGTTTCTTATAAAACCTCCATTTTCCAGATTTCTATGAGTCAGAGACTCTCATACAGACTATTGAGCATTTATTAAAATAATAATAAAAAGAAGAAGAGAACAAAGAAGAGGAGAAGGCAAGGGGCTTATCTCCAGATTCCCCCCCGACTCCGCGTGCTACCAGGGGCTGGGTGCCCACTTTTTTTCCGAGCTGGAGGCTTTTCAGTCTTAGGGGCTGTAGCGAGGCGGCGAGGGAGAGCCTGGGAAGGAATCTGAGAGTTGAGGGAAAAGAAGGAAAACTCAGCGTCGTGTCCTCTCAGTCCCCCACCATTGAGGAAAGGCGTTGTGCGTTGGGAGGGCCAGAATTGGCACAGGGCAAGGAACAAGCCACAGAAAATGGAACAGGGATGGAGGGTTCAGGCGATGGAGGAGTGTGC